CAACCTTAACTGGTAACACGTGCATCAGAAGACGGACTTTTTTGTTGCTTTGCCAATGACCACAAAGTGCCACAAATATTGATTTTCATCTCAAAAATAAATTTTAGTGATTTAGCAAGTTTGTAAGTGTAAAATTTATGAATAATGAGGATTGGCCACATATAAACTGCATATAAATTTCTAAATACATAAATACTTATTTATAATTTCCTCTATGTAACAAGAATAGTTACATAAATTAGGTTATATTACTATGATCAATTCATGTAAAATATGAGCTTAAAATATTTTCTTATATATATGGTATATATGCAGTCAATAAAATATTTATAGTTCACATAAAAATAAAATATTTCTGTACCCTAATACATATTTTCACTGTGGATGAAAGTCTTAGAATCAACAAATACACAGAAATTACAACATGGACAACAATGGCAGCCACAAACACTGTAAGAAACTTGAGTAATGAGGCTTGCTCCTACTATTGATTAGCACAAATCATTTGGCCACGTCCCTACAATAATTCACATATAATGTTGTAAGGGCCATGGAGAGAAGTAAAATGAGCAACTCAGATGAGGCTATCATTCTTAATGTTTCACGGCTTACACTTAACCATCTATCAGGGGACAATTATTATTACTTACTTGATTAATTGAATAACTAAAAAGCTGCCAAAGCAATCCCTTTATGACTTGAGAACTAATGTAAAAGTGGCCAAGACAACATCATTGTAATCTATTTCCATAGATATGCATTCTTCTTAATTTTCCCAAACAATAGATAATTGTGGGAACTTAAATGAGGCACTAACACTCATCATGACCTACTTGACAAGGAATATAAGCCTGCCCTCTTAAAAATAAAAGCTATGATTAGTAGGCATAGCAATCTAAAGGAAGGTTTCAAAGTCAGTGTTTAACATAAAGGTTTCCAACTTTCATTTAAGTAATATATATTTGCTAAATAATACTTCTTTTAGATTTTAGGTATTTTCATACTATTAGAAATGCAGTTGTCAACTGTTTCTCTATAGCATTTAATAGGAAAGAAGAGTCATGTATTAAAAAGATAATAATTTGAATTTCACAAAGACTGTTTGCTCCGTGAAACACTGGAGTTAAAAATATATTAGTTAAATTATATTTTCACTCAAGCTTCATATGGATCATTCACAAATATGAATTCCATATATGCGGCCCCATGTTTGCACTGTGGTCAAGCAAAGAGGGTTCTCCCCAGCTCCATCTCCATGCTAACTTTCAGCTTTTCAAGTAACAAAATTAAGGAGCCCTTCTAAAATATTTCACCTCAGGTCTGCAGTTTAAACCAGTATCACTGACTCCAAAGGAAACTGACTCCAAAATGTCTAAAATTACCTCGTTATTTAAACTCAACCAGCTACACAATGTTTTTTCTTTTATAAATATGTCAGTTAACCATTTTTGAGTAATATGTATAATGTTTGAGCTTATACACATTAGAATTTGGTTGAAACTTAGTTTTTTCCTCAGAAATGTGTGAGAGAGAAATCTCATCACTTTAGAAGAAAAAAGAATTAATAATATCTTTAGAACAAATTGAAGTCCTCAGGTAACAAAACTTGTAAATGCAAGGTAGCTATTGATTGTAGTTGGGAATTACATAGTAACCAGCTTAAAGTCTTTTTAAAAATTTAATTACATATTTTATAGATCTGAAAGGATGTCAAACATGTGACAAAGAATCCACAGTTTTAAAAAAAAACCCTTGAAACATGAGGGTCATTGGGTAGATGCATACAATAATTAATTGGAAAAAGAATAAAACAGTGAACAACAGAAGAGATATTTTGGGAATGAATGATAGTTTCTTAATATACAAAACTCTCAGGAAGGCTTCCATTTTCAGACGTAACTGGTTCTAGACTAGTCTGCCCATTTTAAACAACTGTAAAACTGCAAAACCATATGCAGCAACTGTTTCCAGTTGCTTGAGAATGGTACCACAGATCTGTAGTCCATTAAAAAGGAAAACCTGACATCTATGGCTGTCACACACACCAGACCTGGTCTCTTGGTTCTCCTCTGTCAACCACCATTCTCCATATGTACAGTTCTCCAGGGTGGGGGCATCTCTCCATTTTTGTGCTTATTTGGCACCTCCGCTCAAGTTTGTGTCTAAAATACTTTCTCCCGGCACCTCAGCCCATCCAAAATTCCACCAACTCCACCTTCTCCAGCCACTCCGCTGCACTTGGCCTTGATATCACCCCCCTGAGCCTTGCGCAGTTTGGCACATGATCATATACTGTTGTAGGTTGTTATCTAACTTTTTATTTACATCAGTTTTGACCACAAGTTGGGGAAGGTCACCATCAAATTTTACATGTTTTTTTCAGCTTACTAAATTGTATCAGCTTTTAAAGTGATTGTTAATTAGATTGTTAATGTAGCTAATTAATAAGGATAGTCACTTTTTTGTTTTAAATGATGATAATACATTTACAAGTAACTTATCTGAAGGCATTGACTTAGAATATTGAGAGAAACATTTAAATAGATATTAAAAGGTAAGAAAATAAAGGGAATAGGGAAGTCTGATAAACATTTTTACAAATTGACATCACAGGTATTTTAAAGATTGTCTTAATGGCCTACCATTAAAATTTGATCATTTGTGCTAGTGGCCAGGTGGTCTGATGTCTGTAGGTTCACTCGGGCACCTACTCTACCCCTCCCTCAAGGTCTCAGTCTCACGTTGGTAATTCCCACTGCGTGATGGGCTCAGATGTCGTAATGCCTGTGGAAGGACAGTGTTGTCCTTCTGCTTTCATTGCAATCCCAGTCTATCTCAGATAAAACAGCACACACAAAACACTGTGCATCAAAGCATTTCTTTCTGTGTTGGCCCACGGCTGGGCAGGTTTTCAAAAATCCTCAGCAGTACAAAGTCACTTCATACTATATTTGTTTTACAGTGTTAGATGAAAAGAGCTATTGCTGTAAGTTTAGTTAAAAAATTAAACGCACTCAATATACTTCCCATACTGTTTGTGCTTGGGAATGTAATTTCTGTAATTGGACATATTTGAATTGCATTGGGAATTTCCTAGATCCTCAAATTTATAAATAAACTTTTATTCACTGTAATTTTAGTCTGGGTTTCTCTGAAGCAATTTAAAAAACGACAAGATAGTCATTATATATTATAAGCTCTGCAATGAGAAAATGTGATTTATTCATTCCCCCCCATTTGGGACCAAGGACTTTTGTTTTCTTAACATTTCTGAATCTCAGGGATGACCAGTGTGTTATATAACCAAACTAATAGTATTTGCTACCTTTAAGATTCATGTATGCTGTACTAAACTATGTCACCTAAATTATTTTTATGGAATACTTAATTGGTAAAACCATTCTGGAACAAGGGTGTGTGTTGAACATCTTTGTAGATAATTTATATAAATGCTATTTCCTAAAAATATGGAAACCTGAATTTTAATTAAGAATGTTGTTCCTTAGAGAGTTCCTTGGAGTTCCTTAACTCCAGCAACTTAGAAGCATCTTCCTTTTTTTGCCCAAATAAGAAACCTTGTGTTAATTTGATGCATATAAATGAAATAGCAAATATGAAACAACAAAAATGAGAGCCAAAAAGCCCTGGGCAATATTCCCAGTCACAGCATCTAGAATTCTAGCTCTGATTTGCAGGATCATTATTGTCCAGTCCCAGCCTGAAAGCTAAATGCATTTTATTCTACTTATTGATGCAGGCTCTGCCTCGTAACAACACCAGAGATTACTAAACTCATTTTCTCCTGCAAAAAATCTGATTTAAAGTTCACATTTTCAAAACAGAAAGCCAAAAATACTGGCTGGTTGGTAACATCCTAAGTATGAAAACGTAACTAAGAAGAATAGAGGAGAAAAGAGAAGAATAAACACCTGCTGCGCCCTCCTTTTCACTTTTATGGCAGTGAACAGGGAGTGCATGTTCAGATTTCCATGAAGTCTTATACTTATTGTTGTTATTAGTAAAATGGGTCCTGGTTGTGATACAAGAACATTAACGTCCCTGTATAATGTGGTACTAATAGATGGTGCCCACGTTTCCCTGCTTGCAGATAATGTACAGCACTTTGAAAATGGAAGAAATTATGTTCCTATTGTGCCAATTAGGGCAACCCTCCAGTGAACGCCAATGGAATTATTACCTGATTCTTGACTTTAGTGTAAGGCCTGTTCACCATCAGCTAAACATATATTCCTTGTGTATCTCATACATGAAGACTCAAATATTTTTAATAATTTGTTGTACCTTAATATATCAGCATAAAAAATCTGAATTCCCTATCACATTGTTTGATATAGAGATAATGTTTGAATTTAAGAGCTTACGGACAGATGTCTAATTTGAAGTGAGAACCCAGAAAGTAAGCATGCTTTTGATGGAGGAGAGTGCTCTGTTTGTGCCCACGGGTATGTTAGGAGGGAGTGTAGAATGGATTTTTGGAGCTAGACGGACTGAATATTATACCTCACATATAAAACATCTGTGAAACTGTTCATAAGTTGAATACAATAGCAGTTTTGTGCTTCTACTAACTATATGTTGTGGGTAGCTTATTTGAGATGATCTTTATTCTCAATACTATAATTCCATAAAAATCAACCACTTTTCTTTCCAACTGGTAAGCCTGGAATGGGGGTGAGGAGGCTATGACATTGAGTGCCTCATCTGCCTGTTTGCTTTATAGTAGATTCAAATTGTCCTCTTGTAACGGGTAATTGGAAGCTCCATGAGGGAACCATATCCATAATACACTCTTCTTATTTTAAAATATTTTTTTAATTTAATTATTGTTCAAGTACAGTTCTCTGTTTTTTACTCCCATCCCAGTCCACCCCCCCAGCGCTCCCCACCTCCCTCCCATTTCCACCCCTGTTAGTTTTTGTCCATGTGTCCTTCATACTTGTTCCTAATATACTCTTCTGCTTTCAAGAATCCATTGACTAGTGCTTGCTTCAGTGGCATCCATACTAAAATTGGATGATACAGGGAAGATTAGTATTGCCCCTGCACAAGGATGACATGCAAAGTCCTGAAGCATTCCAATTAAAATAAGAAAGAATCCATTGGCTAAATTGGATGCCTTTTATTTATTTATTTATGAGGAAAGAAATGGAGCACCTATTATGTGCCAGTTACTTACTGTATTAAGGACTGGGTACATGTCAACTTAAAAGGCAGAGAAGGCCCTAAGGAATCTAGTAAAACAATGTAGTCATTCATTCTCAAAGAAGGCTCAGAATTTTCCTTTTTCACAATCTGTGAGGCTTAGCTTTCAAGAATGATTGATAGAAAACACTGTAATGACCGGGATGGGGAAAATGAGAATGTGGATGAAATCTCTTCCTGGAGAGCTCTGTAATAAGCCTTTCTCTCAGATTTGCTGTGGCCAATCATGTTATTAAATCAAGTGCATAAACAATATGGACACTAGGGACTAATACTTATGAAATGAACCTTCCTTAAGCTCTTGATACCATGGAGCAGAATGGCTGTGACATTTAAAAATGTCCTCATAAGCATTTCAATGCTGAAACAAGAATTGGTTAGAAATGGACATACACAGGGAGAGCATCCGGACCAGTGGTTCTCCATTCTGGTCCACATCAGAATCATCTGAGGAGTGTTTAAAAAATATTCATGTTCCTGTTTCAACCAACGATGAAAGCAGTTTGGAAGCCCTGGGGGTGCGTCTTGGGTATTGGGATTTAAAAAGATTTTTATAGACGTACAGCCAGTGTTGATATCTACTGCTCTAGGTCTACCCTCACTCATCTCAAAGACCAGAAGGCCCAGGTCCACTGGCTAAGTGATGAGCTGAGCTGAGCTGAGCCTGCAAACTAGTTTCTGTACAATGTACTACAATAGGTCTAAACATCGATGCTCCAAACATCTGATTTCATCTATGCTGACTTTTTGATAAAGATTATATTTATTTATTTTTAGAGAGAAGGAGAGGGAGGGAAATGGGGAGGGAGAGAAGCATTGATATGAGGCGCTGCCTCTCATAGGCACTCCAAGTGGGGACCGAACCTGGGATCCAGGCATGTGCCTAGACTGGGGATCCAACAAGCAACCTTTTGCTTTGCAGGATGGCGTCCAACCACCTGAACCACACCAGTTAGGGTTACCCATACTGACTTTTGAGGAACCTTTCAATAGTCTGCCAATAGTAACTCTAAACATTCAGAACCTTTGACTCACAGAGTTTTAAGATGTCAAAAGCTCATCCTGAAGGGAGAGGGAGGAAAGCCAAAATTTTGGGAGTTCAACCTTCCCAGCTTCTCTCCTGGAATCTGACAGTATCAGCAATGTAATTATGAAGCTGCTAAATGACTTGTCCTGGTTTGGATCTCTTCTCTGATTACTGACTTGCTGTGTGGCTTTGAGCATTCTCTCTGAGCTTGGGTGTTTTCTTTAATATGTAAAGTGAAGACATTGACACTGGGCTGCTCCCAAGTATTACATGAAACGATGACTGCAGTAACAGAGCTAGCACAAAGAAGCAGTCTGAGCACATCTCAACGTGAAGTGTGTGTTCAAAATTCATTAGTTTATTCCCTTCTCTTTTAGTTGACAGCAAAGGAAAAGTTTCTATCAAATGGTGACAGAATTATAGGCTAAAGAACTTAGCACTTTAAAAAGTTTAAATTTGGCCTGATTGTGAGAACAATTGGTTTTGCATAGTAGCTTTAAAAATAGAACCTTAGAAGACCCATTTTTTTGTACTTTGGGCACTACAGTGCTTTCAAAGTATAAAATGCAAAATAATTCAGTTTCAAGGTTGCTAACATCTTGAGACACTATTCAAGAACCAGGTCCTAATTCCTTCTATATCAACCTGCACCCCATACCCAAGAAACCCAACCAATATAGCATAGATGAAATCACCTGGAGTAAACATCTTGTTTATATTAGAGGCACAAAATCCCTACTTGTAGTTATAATAGACTAGAGTGATCATGCATTTTGGCAACACTGAAAGCAATTAAAAACGATTTAAAGGGCAAAAGGACATTACCAGAAATGCAATATGTCAAAGTAATCTAGTTGTTCCATTTTATTTAATCAAAGCTCTGAATTTGACTTTTTGCATTAAGTTTAAAGAAGTGTAAAACGAACAATACTGAACGCCTTTGGATGATTTATTCATGTTCTGCCATAATGTTTATGTATCCAACTTAAATTTAAATTTCATGATTACTTAGACTACACAATGATTAGAATGGACCAGCGGGTTCACTTTAGGAGGGATTGTTGTGAGTGATTACGTTACATGTTAAAAATAAAGGAATGAAAAATCATGGAACAATTGCCTGTGATAATAGCCCAAACTAATGTTTAGATCTGTCCTTGTCCTTGACTCATCGCCAATTTTCCACGATGCTACTGACTTAACTGCTTTTGAAGAAATCTGCCAAAAGCCTTCTCCTATTTGTAGGAAGAAAAAAAAAGGGAGACCTTTTCCATGAGCTAAGGACGAATTTCAAGTTAACAGGATACAGACACAAAGGTAGCAACAGCAGACAAGACTGGGAAACTGTAAGACTATGAATCTGTGCACACACGCAGAGTGTAGGGGCCCCGAGTCCCTCACGGCCAATACTGATGTTTGCGCTTCCTTTCAAGGATCATGTGCTCATTAAACAGATGTTAGACAATTTAACCACACATACGGAATCAACCATTTAAAAAGCTTACTGTGCTAAGTTTGCCTGGGGAAGGGCTATGTGTTTAGAAAAACACATCGGTTATTGTCTCATGCTTTCAACTTAAATCCCTGCTCCTTTTTGCTATAGAGTGACATTTTCTATAACTGATGATAGATTAAAAAACAATAGCTTATGCTAAGTTTACTGGAAATGAGAGTTTCATCAACACACACACACACACACACACACACACACACACACACCCCTTGAAAAATCTTTAGAGAATACAATTATGCTCTACCTAATTCTTTGTTTATCAAAGTATAACAGTGTTGATAAGCTTCCCTGAAGTGGATACACTAGAATGCTTCCTTAGTTATCTCAAATTGTTTTCTGCAGGATTATTTTGTACTTATTTGTACTCATTCTTCACCATTTACCTCCCCGCCCGAAAGCCTCCTGCTGTTCCTCTTTCTCCACTCTGCCCTCCCTGTTTGCTCTTTGACACAGCCCTGAAGCCAGACAAGTCTGGGTGTGAAGCGCTTGATTTTTCAGGTAAGCCTGGTGAACAAAGGTTTACAGTTGGAGCCACAAGCTTGGCGTGGTCTTAGGGAATCTCGTACTGTGTCACCTATAAGGAAGCTGCATAAAGTATTTGAAGATGACCCCAGAGACAACATATTCTTACTTGGCTGTACTGAGGTCTGCCAAAAAAAAACCCCAAAAAACAAACCCTTGAATAATTGCCAAGAACTTTTAACTTTAGTGGCCAGAGCCTTTTGTGGACTTGGTTTTGTTACTGCTCTTTGTTGGTGGATGGTCATTATGACTGAAGTCTCATAAATTTTCTCCAGGGAAACATTTCAGCCCCAGAATGATGAGATAAAGAGTGAAGACTGTGGTCAAATACGGACTGTGCTTTCTTCTCCAGCCATCTGCATTTTCTCACCACAATTCTTTACTTTTCTTACATTTTTACTTTTAAATTTTTGTTTACTTTTGTTTTGAATAGAGAATACATTCTCATGCTTTAAAAGCCAAAACTCTGTAACAGGTGTACATTGAGGAAGTCTCATTCCACCCCTGACTCTGTGTGCCCTGCTCCTGCCTCTACAGATAACCACAGAACTCTCCATTTGTCTCTCTCACTGTACTGGGAAGAGAAGGATGGCTAAATCTCTAGAAATGTATTCATGGAGAAAAAGCCGGGACTTGAATTTGCATAACAATCATGCCCTTGTTTACCGAGTTTTTCCTGGTAACCTCCCATAACTGGCTTTCCTTCCACTCCCAATGTCTTCTTTTGTGATTAGCTGGAGATAGTATTTAAGGCAATGTCTCGAGCCATTTAGGGAAATTACTCAGTTTTCCTGAGTGTCCTCCAGGTACATACATTAAAGTTTTGTTTGTTTTTCCCCTGTTTATTTGTCTTTTATTAGGGGGGGTGTTTCAGTTACGAACCTAGAAGGGTTGAGAGAAAACTATTTTCCTCCCCTAGAAAGTTAAATATTTTTGTTGTGTTTCCAATTTTGAGATGATTTTATACCAGTATAAAATATTTTCTTTAGAAAATTGTGGAGTGCTTATTGAAACAGTGACAAGATACAGATTCTAGAGTCCTGTGATTTAGAACTGCAGAGGTTCTGAGCTGTGTATAAGAAGTGTACAATGTTAGGTCTTAAAGTGGCTTTAGCAGCATGTCTAATAAAATTCCTTTTCAGTGATGGAAATGACTGGGCATCTCAGAAGGACAACCTCCTATGTTGGGAACCTTACACCTGGCTTCTAGCTAAAAACATTGCATTGATTACAGGAACCTGTGCGCTCCACAAAGCCAATCGGCTACAGGTAAATGAGGTGTGCATGCGCTCCCCAAGCCAATCGGCTACAGGTACATGAGGTGTGCATGCGCTCCCCAAGCCAATCGGCTACAGGCACATGAGGTGTCCACGAGTACCAGTTGCACCCAAGTAATCAATAAGCGGGCCCTTCTTTGTCTCAAGCTAGCCAATAGCAAGCAACCTAATCTCCTTCCTCTCCCTCCCCCCTATATATATACCCAGTTCGGAAAAATAAAGTTTGCAGCTTGATCAGAATCTTTTGTCTTGCTGCCATTCTTCGCGCCTCTTGTCCCCCCAACTCATTTGTTCTAGGTAGGTGGTCGAGCCCCAGTTGACTGCTCCGCGGGCCGGACAACCTCCTAGACCAAATAAACAGTAAAGTTGCTGGCACAAATAGGAGAGAGAGAGTATCCTGGATGTTTGTGTTTGCTCTGCGTGTCTAGGCTTATGTGCACATGCGTGTTTTTTTGGGAACATTTTTTTTTTCGAAGTCAAACTTTGAAGTTGAATTCTTTATGTGACACTGCAACTATCCTCATTTAATAATACTAATCTCACT